TGCGTATGCAGCTATCTAGCTATGACACAACATCGGAGAAGTGTTAATAGATGACTCAACTTACAAGAAGAGCGTTCATGCCTCAGATTTCATCTTCAAGTATCACTGCGAAGTTATGGTGGCTTTTTCTTCACCCCAGGCCAACCCTCATCCGTGAATACCTATCCAGGGGAACGTCTCAAAGACCCCGAGTTATCTAGACATGCATCCGCCATCCATTCACTTTTCTCCGCGCGAAATGTGATCTGAGATGTCTCCTTCCAAAGTGGAATAGGTGTCTAGGCTACTCAGACTACCCCGGATGACACCTTACACTTGTACTTGTAGCGCAAACTTCCCACACTCTTGGCTATTATCCGAACATGACACACTTTCAGTCAACTCCTTTCATTCCATAGGTACTGCGCACATTTCATTGCGCGATATTTCCACCTGATTATGAGACCGAATATCTAACCAACCGAGCCAAGTTTATATCAACTCCTTAACAGGAAACTGAACTTTTTCTGCTCAACCCTTAAACTCGCACTTCACCGCCTACCTTTGCATATTCTCTGAAGAGTGCTATTCATCATGTCTACTGCCAAGATTCTCAAGCATTGTCAGAATGCTCCCGAGCTCAGTACGGAGACTTATCCAAGATAGTATCGGATATTTCGGTTGAGTTTAAACACCCACAATGTCCAAGAATACGTCCCGAGGAAAGTGCCCGATCTAATTCCCGTTGATGAAAATTTGGCTTTCCAAATGTCCCCTCAGCAACTTGTTGACAACGACATGAAACCAGCGCCCCTTCAGCTAGTTCCAGAAGATATCTAATACATCATTCAAGCCTTACGGCATTTCAAATGCGGAATGCAATTGCTGCCTGCTACCGACCTAATAGAAATATTTACGTAGATGGACTGATAAAAGAATACTAGTGCTATAACTTTGAATTAGGCGCTGACATCGACGACTGCGCAACTGAACTAACAAAAATGCAATCAAAAATTGCATCTTTAGATCCATCCGAGCGTCCCTCTGTGAAGGGACTTCACATTTGTTGTTCACAATTATGGGTCCAAAAATGAATTTATATTTTATCTAAAGAGGAGAATATTTACAACGCGCGCGCAAGATGTTTTGTTCCAATCGAGCGCGTTTTCCCGTGACACTAGCGCGCTTTTGTTCATAGACGGAGCCGGATAGTTCCGGATCCACATACAAGGCTACAGCCTGTAACACTCTCTGATCTATCGAAAAGAAACCGCCTCTTAGATCACTCCATAACTGAATGCAACGGCTTCTACAATGGAGCGGTATCATTCATTAAACTCAAATATTATTTCACTTACCTCGAAACAGTGCACTTATCAAGAGACAGTCAAATAAATTATTTGAAGTACAGAGAGAAAGCTGTCCCAAACTTTTTCAATCCCGGGAAAGAAATGATAACGAAAATCTGTTCATTCTATGTAAGGAATAACCACATCCGTGATAGATGTTTTAAATGGATAGATACTGCAGAGGGATCTAGATGGGCAGCTAAAAACCCACAGAAAGCAGAGATGTTCGTGTCGCTCGAGAGAAGATTAAGAAGCGGCCGGTTCAATAGTAAAGACTAGCCAGAACATGAGTACGTTTTATCCTGTTCAACTTTATCTTCTAGCGATGTCATTCTTGACACCGGCGCGACTCATCACATTTTCTGTGACTTATCATTATTCACGCCGATGGTACCAGTTAGGAAGTCCATTGAAACAGTTTCAGGACGTGTGGAACCTGTTTCTTGGTCTGGCTCAGTAAGTTTTGAGGTAGATCATGCAAATAATATACATCAGACTAGGACTGTCAGACAATCAGATGCCTGGTACCTACCATCCTATGCAAAGAATCTCATCTCATGCTCTCAATTAACTTCCAGAGGCTATAAAATTAAGAATAACGAGTATGGACCAGTATTTTATTTATCTAACGATACTGTTGTTATGAATGCACGTCTAGAAATTGGTCTTGATTAATACCTTTTATGTATAACATAATAATCAATTCACTCTTCTCCGCTCTGCCTTAAGTGATTATCCATCTCCTTCCACAGATTTGAAGTGGGAGATGGCTGGTAATTGATAAGGCAAAGTCCCAGTTTGCAGTTTGCAGTTTGAGCAACTCGATCGGTCGTTGAGGCGAGCTGGTTTGTGTTCGAAGTATCACGCGATGAAATGGGCGCAATATTTGTGGAAAGAAAGTAGAAGTTGACTAAAAGAGTGTCATTTTCGGATTACGGCTAAAAGTGTGGGAAGTGTGCGCTACAAGTACGAGTGTGAGCGACACGTAGCCTAAGCCAGAGCATAAACGAGTCTGGCACCACATAGAATAGAAAACCCCCAATAATCTCCTTGTGCCCACGCCATACAGCCGCTCATGTATCCAACAGGTAGCCTGAAGCGCAACCACATTACCCATTCCAACCTCTTAAATACACCCAAGATCGTGTCGGGAATCTAGACTAGATGGGGGGCCCGTACGTCCACAACACTCTGTGCCTCCATTTCCAACAGTTTGTGATAAAATCGAGTTGGGCGACCCACGTGAGGATGATAGATCCGTCATTGATGAGGAGTATTTGAATGAAGATATGCTTTCGTTTGCTTTCAACTTCGATTCGGATGCGGTTCTTGGCTATTCGAAGTATGCATAGCATACCGAGCGATTACATTGGCAACTCCTGAAGATGAAGGATTCGTTTCTGCCGGCCCCGCACATGGGTATGATTTGATTTGAATGTTATTCGTATCAGGCCTATGCTCCACACTAAAAGGGCCTCATAAAGGTATTTGATTCCGCAGGGCTCATATTAACCTGCATCATGAAGTCCTTTTGGGCTAGAGGAAAACAAAGGAAAATAACTATGAAGTTTCTCAGTCAAGAGGCAATGGATTTTGTCTGCCTCTCATCCACCCACGAACATGCGTTCATCTTTAGACATCCATTTATCCTCAGATAGACTGTCGGAATACTCGGGTGCTATTTACTGCACAAGCTTTCTACAGCAGTAATAACAATTGGTGGTTAACATATATCTTCTAATCCTCTCTTACAACTAGAGGAAACACGTATATACAGCAGTTGTCCCTCTCTCCTGACGCCATTCCTAAACAGGTAACTGTTGTAATTAAGGCAGCAACATGACTGCAGTAGACAAATAGTACATATTAGAATAATATGCACTGGCGCCATGAGATATGATTAACCCATATCATCACACACTGGCATGAATAGTAATTAGCCAATAGATGCCTGACAGCATACATTGGCTTCAGGATCTCCAACAACCTTCCCGTTTAAGTTAGATTAGGGAGTATGTTGGAGTTCACACTAGTGTGCGGAAAACCCCGCTTTCATGTACATAGAGGGACTTCTCGCCACACATGTAGAATCATAGCAATTTAATCACAATTAACTATCCATTAAATATCAGTAAACTTCTTTGTATAGTAAACAAATTTATCGTATCTCTTAATCAAACTTGAGGCTAGTGTGTAATTCTTCCAATCTCCGGAACTAATTTCAATTGTAACTCATTACTCATCAGTATGATTAATCATCATTTCTAAGATAATACATGAAAGGTCATTAAGTTTTTAGGTCATTCGATAGGTAGCAATGGGGACTGCGTGCGTGGGAAAAATCTCAAAAAACCTGCAGCCCCAGCTAGGCAAGGCCTGGATACCGGGACCACATGAATTACGCATATTCATCTACACCTCCCTTCTTTGTTATATTGGAAGCTATCTCTGTATCGGGTGCTGAGTACGCTCTGGAAACACATCGGATGGCTTTCCCTCTATGATCAAGGGTGGGTGATGAGAAGGGCTCCGACCCTAACATTTGATCGCGGAAGCGACTGTGAATCCTCATCGAAGCGAGGACTTTGTTACTCAATCTCAGCTTTGCAAACTCTACAGTGAGAGCTGAAGGTCCATAGGGGACACCACTAACAGGCCTTGAGAGTTGTCCCCCTAGATCCGATAAGGTATACGCCGTAGTCGTCCCAGCTACATACTGATTAAGTCTCGAAAACACTTGTATTGGCCTACACGTTGTCTAAACTGGGAATATCTATTCCTCTATCCTTGAATCTGATATAATTGATTAATTTTACCTGCAATGAGAAAGCACAGGTTGGTAAAAGCTGGGATGCTTAATTTTGGTTTTACGAAGACATTACTACCGAAATCACCCCGAAAATTTCCGTTGTTCGAAGTCACAAGTAAACCAACATAATTTAGAAGTCGATTAATTACTACTATGATTGTCAATTAAGCCAAATCTTTTGTTTTATTCAATTTCTCTAACTTTACCGCAGACGATGATGGTATATAAATCTTTCTGAGCAAGTGTTTGGATCCATAGTAGCAAATGGTATGTTGATGCCTTAGGAAACAAGGAAAGATGTAGCGCGCACAGACACCTACGTGAAAACTGATATGGATCCTTCATCATGTAGATAGATAGACACAACCATTAGACAACAATTTATACCAGTATTCAAGCAGATGCTAGGGACCGTAGCTACCTATTGCTACCAACATCAAGCCATATCAGCAGAATAGATGGGTGGCAGGTAGTGTCGGTAATTTTGCTTTAGTTATGTCAAGTTGATGTAATATTTGGGCATGTACGCTATAATAATAAAAGTATATCGTAGAATTTAATTTGAAGAGGGAGAGGAGAGACAGAATAGAATATATGTTCCTACTTACCAACTAGCCACAACGTAAATTTTTCTAATGGGTTGGGTCAAAATTTCACGAGGGTACGACATCATGAGTGAGATCCGTCACTAATGGTAGGTTTATCGTGCGTCAAATACTTGCTAATACGCTACTGCTCTAACTTTGTCCGCTTTTACAAAGATTGACTTGATAACCATAGCTTTAACGTAATACTTCCAGTAGAAATCCGTAAAGATCTAATATAAAATCTAGCTATCAAGGGCCGCACATTTAAAATTAATCTTATGTGGCTTTACCTTTCCCCTTATCTTTCCTTTCTGAATTTTCCGAGGCAGTAAGGGCTGCAGAATCATCTGATGGTGCCGTACAATTTTCTAATGCTGAATCCGGATATGAAGGTGCTTCATAAAACTCTGAATGATCATATGAATTATCCAGAATGTCACATCTACCCAGGTTTAATTGCGGAACTTGCGTAGGATGTGCCGACAAATTTTGAACGGAAGTGTTTTCATACTCACGATTCCGATTGAGAATTTCGCCGTGTAAATTTTGCTGCCAATCATTCGCAAGTACCCTACACGTTAGGGGATTTACTGGAAGATTGTCAATTCCTGTGTAGGCTTCCTGCGCCTGCGCTTGCATCAATTCAAGTTCTTCGGTTGCCTCTATAATTACATCCATAAGCTTAAGGTTATGCTCATACATATCCGTATTCCTCTTATGCAGTTCTTTAAATTCTTTAATTGAAAACGCAGATTTTACAGATGCCTGAGATCCTATTTGACTGAAGTCACTCTCCGCTCTTTGCATTCCCTGAGTAGAGCTCTCCGGGCGATCAAGAAAATTTGTAAACGATAGATTGGATTGTTGGGTCTTTACACCATGGAAGCCCTGTATCTTATTGTATACTTGTGGTAAAGAACCGTCAGAGTTCATAATTTGGCCATGTGTTGGAATTTCTTCTGTCACTAAATTTTCCTCGTCCGGAATCCCTTATAAAATTTAGTTATACTTATTATATCAAGAGGTTATCTGAATTCCTCACATTTTTGAATACCACAAAAAGTGTTTTGCGCACACTCGACAAATTCACCAGTGTTATTTCTGTAATTCATATCGGAAGAATCGGATTCTATGGGTTGAATATGACAAGAGAATAATCCTTGATCCAAATTGGGGTTTTCAGCAAAATGTGGATAAATTGATTCCGAGTCTCTCCTTCTGATATATGAGTATTTTTCTCTGATATATACATCTGAAATATTTTCATTCTCTGGGTTTGCGTTGATAGTCTTGGCGCCATTTATATCATGAATCTGGGTTAACTGGTACAGTTTGGGGCTACCATGACTCTCAATATACTTAGAGTCATCTTCACTTGTACATTCATCAGCATACTCAATATGAGCATATGATGGCTCTTCTTCAAAGATTGAACATCTAGTGAGGGGAGACGAATGATTTTCTGTATCTACTTTTCTAGGATCCGAAGTATCATTTCTTGAATGAATTTCAGACATCTTCTGGTTGTCTTTCGTAGACTCTGTTTTAGAATCAATAATTACTGAAGAGCCCTGGCTTATGTACTTCTTCTCGATGGCGAATTTATCAGTGGTATCCCCACTCCTGTCTGCACAGCTTTCTAGAATTTGAAAATTTTCCACTGGTGAGTTCTTAATTTTAGTGGGACGTCCGTGACTAATTGAAAAATCTTTATCTGAATTAATTTTTAAAGATTGAAGTGGGTCATTTTTCAAATCATTGTCCAAGTCACTAGAGTTATTCCATCAGTAGAATTTCTTTCGGTATTTGGATGCTTACCCAGCGTTAGTCGAAATAGGATACGGATTTTTAACAGCTATAGATCTTGACGATTCTTCCAAACATCTATCTTTAAAGCGCTCGGAGTGGTTTCGGATCATTTCCTCTTCCATTTCATGAGATTCAAGATCAGAAATTAAGAATTCATCACTAAATACTGGACTACTTTGGCACTGTGAATAAATAAACTTGTTCTCGTCTTCAATTTTTTTGAGAGCAATATCTAGAGCGCCAGGATAGTTCTCACTATCTGGTTTCATTGGGGGGAGCGAGTGAGTTGGAATCTTCAAAAATAAGTCACTTAGTGAGTCATCTATGAAATCATTGGGTACTGAAATTCTCGGGGACTGTGAATTCTCGGAGATTTTCGGAGTAACTACGCTTGAAGTGTCGTTTTTATATCCCGTACTTCGCTGTATTTTCCTTCTATTTAATTGAACCTCATGATATTTTTGAGGATAATTCTTAGCATGGTAAGTGGTGAGATTCAAAGGTACAGGGGGATTCAATGGCGGTGAAGCTACCGTAGTTAAAATTTAAAAGTTATGAATTGGTAGCACATGTCTTACCTCGACGAAGTTGTCCCTGTTGCCCACTTTGGTGTTGCCGTGTTAAATCAATAAGCTCAATATGATCTTTCACGTTCAGTATTCTTTTTTTTTCGGAGAGGGAAAGAACTCTTGAGGTTCGTGTTTTATGACAGTTGAAATCGTTTAGACCCGAATTTCGCTCTAAATCATCTTGAGAATCTGAAAACTCTTGTATTTGATTAGAGTCTTCAGACTCTGATACAGATTTCGCATAGGGTGAGACTTTCAAACAATAGTTACTTGTTGGCTTGTTAATATAAATTCAAGTTGGGAAAATGGATTTTTACTCTAATTTTGTGCCTAGTTTTTTGTCACCTGACTCACGATAATCATCGCTCGAGTTTTTCTTTGAAATATTGGATGAGATTGGACAGGAAATTGCATGGTTTCTTGATCGATTTTCTCGAGAAGATTGTGGAAGCATTGAATTAGCGTCTTGATTGCTGATTATTTTTTTCTGACAGCAGTAGGCTAATCTTAGTTAGTTAAGACTAGCTGCATCTTAACTGATTCATACTAGCCTTCATTGATATTGTCTATGTCCTCTCTGACTTCTTGCGCCATAGAAACGCGTGATAGCTGTAACGAATCAGGTTCCTTCTGAAATATTCTTGGACTGTTTTCGCGCATAAGACTATCGTAGGCCACTAGCTGATCTCTAGCTAAGGAATCGGAAATTTTACTCTCGCATGGTTTTTCAAGTCTTTGATTAGTTGAAATTTCTTTGCCTTTACTTTTGAGCTCATTTACTCCTGTAATATTCATTGTGATATTTCTTAAGTATATTTCTTAAATATAATGGTTTCAGCGAGTTTTTATCTTTAAAGGATCTGTAATGAGCGTACTTTCATGACAGTCTGATACTGAAAGCTTAATCAGTGAGTTTTATATATATATCTGGGCTGTTCTTTCCGATGTGTATCCTTCACCTATATTTTTTAAGAGGCACCTTCCATTTTTGATAATGTCGAGTTTTAATTTTCACAAGGACACTTGATCATGTTTGGCTTATTAGTTGAATACAATAAGTACACTTCCCTATGCTATTATGAATTAAATTTAACATACTAGATGCCGTTATTCCAGTTCAATCGGCTATTAGTCTGATACTTTTCATATTTTCTAAAGAATCTTAAGCATTGAGGCGAAAATTATAAATTTTATAAATTATTTTGACTCAGGATATCTTCTTTAAATAGTCCTGTAAAGTATTTTAATATCAGGAAGTGATGGGTAAATTTAAATTCTTTCGTAAAACTCTGTCGTTCAAATATAGCATCAGATGACGCTTGACTTAGAATATATCAGAAAATTTGACAAGGGTGAAAGAGACTTCATATTTCTTATATTGATGACGTATTATGATAACCAAACAGTCAGTAATTTCGAAACTTGTGAAGACCATTTAAATAATTTAAATTCACAACTTGATAGTGGAGATTTGTATCCAAGTTTTATTAAATATTTGTTTTCAAATATATATTATAAAACTTTGATACGACAATTTACACTTTATCCTATCGACATGAATTTTTTGCAAAGCAATTGTGATAATGGTTGTTACATTGTATTTGAACAACAAATAGAGAGTTTCACACCTCTAATATATGGCACCGCTAGATGATTATTTGGTTTATACTTCTCAATTGATGAGCCATTTTTATTAATATTTTTGTTGGATCATTCTATTACTCGGGGCATTTAAAATGTTGGTTATCATGGTAGACTACCTTCATCTTTTTTAACTATTCTCCAAATATCAGACCTCTAATTTACAGGTATAAGGTGATATTATACATAGACTTTTCATCAAATAAAATCGAGCAGCAAAGAAATTGCTCTTCCAAAATTAACTTTGCGAGTTCTAGGATTTGTAAAAGTAAATTTATTAGTTTTGATCGCAGATTTAATATTGAACTATTATCTAAAACAGAGGTAGTGAATGTAGCCAAGCATCGCACACTTTATAAAGAGTTGGAAAGATAAAGCCTGCACATTTGTCAGCAGTTCCTTCATTGTCCTAGACTCAGAAGGGACTTTAACTAAAATAATTTAGCGATCTCCGATACGAACTTGTGATTGATGTCGATTGGCCTTAACATACGTATACGTAAGGTTAGTTAAATGCAAAATAAAAGGTACAGAGTGAAGTATGTATTGTGTCTTGTATCTATCTATGAACAACGCGTACGTTCAGTGCGTGGTATTGGCTGAGTCATCAAGATAATGACTCAGCAAAAGAGAGATGTACCGCACTTAGCGCCTAGTCAAAGACATACATTCCAATGTCGAGATGAAGCATGGAGATTTTATTTCATTTTTTTATTTATTTACTGTCGGTTCGTCTAAAACGTAAAAGTAGATGTGTCATCATGGATGCACTAGCCAGGATCCACAGTATAGCTGTGAATCCTGTATAGTGTAGAAGACAAGAAATTATGAACATTTGGACCTACACAGAATCGCACAATCCGAGAATCCCAAGTTGCCCATTCCCTCCCTATTATCCATCTCACCCATTATTTATCGAATCGAATCGTAATTGTTTGCCATCGGCGGCATTTCAAAATGCCTCCGACGCGTAGAACGCACCAAAACGCGATCAGCGGAATCACCAAAGATCGCGTCATCAAACCCTACAAATTGCATGAATCTATACTAACTCTTGCAAGACAAGAACTTACGGAGAAAGGATTAGAGGCCTCCGAGAAAAATTTAGACTCCATCGAGGCTGCGCTCGAAGCTAACGTTCGCAATATACCCGAGGTAGAGATGTTGGACGTCGAAGTCTAGAAGTTGAAATCTCTATTAGATTCAAGATGGGCTTCCTCCAGCCCAGAAGACGCGGAAAAAGCCCCAGGGCCCGCAATAACCCCAAGAGAAACAGTCGCAGCATCCGAAAAGCGCGCTACGGTTCCAGCACTACCGCGACTTAAGAAGGTAAGGCCCGCGAAAAGGGCCGACGTACCCTCAACCAAGGCAACAGGAGCCGAAAACTCTTCGCTGGCCCCACCGCCTACAGTAACAGAAGCAGCAGGCAAGGAAAAAATATACCCTCCAGAATTGCTTGCAGCGATGGAAGCGGAGGAGCGCAGGGCAAGACAAAAAGCCGCGCAATTTAATATCTACTCGACGGCTATTAGCAGTGTCGAGGCAGCTCTTCTACCGCTCTCCACCGGCGAAGATAAAATCTTTGTAGACTCCATCAAAGTCTACTTGCGAGCAGCAATCGCACAATTCGTGGCGCCCGGTCGAAGCACTGCTCCGCCAGTACTACCCCAACGACCAAATGTCGCGACTCCCCCTGCGACCGTAGTCCCAGTGGCCATTCCTCAGAACATTACAAAGGCTACTGTACCTCTTCAGCCTAGAAGCACCTGGGCCACTGTCACCAGAGCAGGACACCAAAAGTCAGGCGCACAGGCTCCTGCAAACAACACCCCAGCTTCGGCTGCCCCATCTGCCAGGAAACTGGAGAAAAAGCCGGCAGCAGCAACAACAGCATCGAAAGATGACCGACTCTTCCTGCGTCTGGATGCAAACCACGAGTGGAGACAGCTCTCTCCGGCTGGCGTTCGTGAAGCAGTAGCGAAACAAACACAATGCACCCTTTCTGATGTCGACCAGGTGCAACGCGTCCCCACTGGCTTTGCCATCCATGCCAAAAACCCGGATACAAAATCCCGACTGCTGGAGGCCTCCAGCACCTTTACGCAAGTGGAGGCAAAACTAGAACCACCAAGTGATCTAGTTTCCCTCCGGATTGCTACGGTTCCAGTCGCCGTGTTCGGCTTAGAAGGACGAATTGAAGTCACTCCCGAAATGGTTGCCGCAGAGATCCTCAGAGTAACCAGCTGCACTCCAGACCGAGTGAGGATACACGGAAATACTAAGCTCGGTGCTCCCTACAGATCCTAGGCGGCCTTGTTTCCCAGGAATGCTAGCCCAAAGCCTGGCTTCCGACTCTTTGACGACTCAGGAGTAGTGACAATCCAACGAAACCGCCCTGCCATACAGCAATGTAGGCGATGTCTGGGTTTCCACCCCACCTGTGGGTGTTCTCGCGCGCCAGCCTGCTGGAACTGCGGATCCACCATGCACTCGGCATTCGAGTGTAAAGCGGCCTCAAAATGTCGAAACTGCGGAGGCCCCCATCAATCTGGCAGTCGAGACTGTCTTGCTCGTCCCAACAGGTCTGGCCCAGTTACCAGGTAGCAACTTGTGACGATTCGCCAAGCTGGCCAACGCGAGTAACAGGCCGTCGCTCGAGCCAAAGCTGCTACCAAGGCCGCCGGATCGACAAGAACAACTTCTCCTGCTGCTGTTAAGGACAACTTATTGATAGACACAGCAATGACTGAGGGTTCGGGCTTTGGGGCCTTGAACCCTGAAGAAGCTTTGTGAAGGGCGCCCTACGGGCCCCTTCCCGCCCCCCTCCTACACTAAGTTTTATGTCAATAAACGTAGGCAGGGGCGGCCCAACCTACAACATTGCGCTCTCTAGAGCTTACGAGTTAGGCGTGGATGTTGTGTTGATTCAAGAACCTTGTTAGATCAAACAAACGAACGAAACCAAGTCACACCCAGGTTACCTCTGTCATACACCGTACGGAGGTGTGGATGTCAGACCGAGGGCGGTGACTTATATTCGGAAAAACGAAAAGGTGATATCGGCAGAGCAGATTTTCCCTTATAATAGGCTGACTGGGGACTACTGCTGGGTTCTGGTCAATGGAATCACATTTCTCAACGTCTATAAGGCCCCTAACGACCCGACTGTAGTCTGCACGCTTGTCGACTGGAAACCGTCTGCGAGGTCCATTGCAGCCGGGGACTTCAACTCAGTGCATGCTGCCTGGTAACCGGGAGCAACTCGGACTTATGGACAGAGTGATGAGATAGAGAGGTGGGCGGAAGACCACAACCTCTCTCGTCTTATAATTGGAGAGCCGACTCATAAAGCTGGCAATACTCTTGATCTCGCTTGGACTAATATATCTGGAGCCCGTGTTTGGGTCGATAGAGAGGAGTGTATGACCAGCGACCATCTTCCGATCCGCGGAATCGTACCTGCAGAAACCTTCACCGGGAACCCGGGTCCATCGAAGATCAGAGTGCCCAAGAAAAATCTGCCTAATTCTGCGCGTGCTGTTGCAAAGTGGGTACAACCGCCGTTAGACTTAAGTACAAAAGAGAAAGTGGATGAGTATGCCCAAGAGATTTGCTTCTATCTCTCGGAGGCCATCAAAGCGACAGGAATCCGGGCCAGAAAAGAAAGCGGCAAATCTACGCCGTGGTGGACTCCTATGTGCAAATCCGCACACGCAGAATACCGAGCCGCAACGACACCGACACAGCGGGCCACTTGCGCAAAGGAGCTTCGACCGACCATCACAGCCGCCAAGAAAGAATACTAGACAAGCCAAGTGGAAGCAATGACATCACCGTCCGATATCTTCAAGCTGATGCGTTCGGTAAACCATAGATAGGTCAAAGCCCCTCCGCCACTCAATCACAACAGAAAGTTCATCACGGACCCGTTAGAGCGAGCTACCATTCTCCGAGACGCCCTTCTTGCACGCCACCAAGAATCGGACGACCTTCCGCCATGCAACACTCCAAGCAATAATCGAATATGTTTCAGTTACACTACGACAAGTCAAGCGTAAGCAAGTATAGGTATATTCCAGGCTACTGTTTTGGTCCCAAGGAATATCTGATGCTTGCGCTGAGACGCCCGAAGAGGTTCCATGTCAATAATTATT